ACCATGGCCTCTCATTGCTCAGAGGACAAAGACCAGAATCCTTGGAGAGGCCCAGAAGCAGTGCAGGGCCTGGCCCCATCACACCCCTGCCTGGCTGTCTCCTTCCCTGGGGCCTGATTGGGCCTTCTCTCACAGGTCCTGAACTTGCCGCGCCCCGCCCCTGCGATGCCTTCCCCATGCACCCCTTGGCCCTTGTTGACTGCAGCTCCTGGCTTGTGGGACAGCTCAGCAGGGCCCATCCTGATCCGTTTGTGCAGGACATTTACTTTCCCTTGCTGTTGCATACTCATAGTTATTCATGTTTCATCTCTCTCAGGCTGTGAACTCCCTGAGGGCGGGAGCCTTGGCTATCTTGGCTGTGGCTGCCACATGGAGACCTTCACCTGTGTTTACAGAGTGAATTAACTCAAGTGCAGAATAACAGAAACAAATGGAAATCTTCCTCTGGAAAGATGGAAGACTGTTGGGGGCAGCTCACGTGGAAGCGGCTTTGCATCTCCATCCCATCCCCACTTCTGGGTCCCCCTTACCCTCAGCGCAACATCCTCTCCCCACCTTTCTCACGCTCTCTGGGCTCTGCAGCTGGTCACTGCAGCCACAGTGTCGTGGGAGTGGAGGCTTAGCAAGGAGTGCGTTATGGAGGACAGATTTCTGCCACAGACTTCACCAAAGTGGAACCATAGCTTCCATTTGGCTCAGGCTCTTTGGGAGAATTTGACGTCTTTTGTTACCTCTAAACTTACCTATGTGTAACCACACATTTTGATCTTTTCCTTAAATCTTTTAGATAATTATCAGATAATTTTACTTACCTGTTATTCTACCACTTTCTACCTTGCCTTTTCTTCAGGCCACCCCCAAGCGCTATAACCTGCCTAAAGGTTAGAACATAAACCACTTCCACACGTTGATCTCTGGGCATAACCCAGATGGCACAAACACCAGCATACCCAGTTTTCCTTTGTCACTTCAGAATGCTGACAGGCAGAGAAGAGCATTTTCTTTAGTCTGAAAATGTGATGTGTGCTTATTAAAACTGCTGCGTGTATTTGCTAACAAGAGTAAGATTGACAAGATTAATTGACAAGTTTCAAAATATGATTTAGATTCAGTTTACTTGGCTAAGTGTCTCTCTCCATAATACATATATTTCAAGGAAAATATTAGATATTACAAAAGGTCACCCTTATCTTTTACTATATTATCAAGATGAGCTGTTTTTTCCAAATATCAATTTTTAGTCTGTAATTTTCCTACTAGTTATTAAGACAGACCTTTAGGATAGAGTGAAAACATTTTAATGTCAGTTTATTCTAAGCTATGTTTTTTTTCTTAGTTTTTAAAATCTACTTTAAAATTTTACATGAGTTGTCAGTGAAACCAATATAATCCAAGATAGTTCTCTTTCTCTCTTTTTTTTTTGTCTTTGGAAAATTGCCCCTCAAATGGTTTAGGCAAAGTAAAAACCAGAGGTAGGTGGGTAGATTCATACATACCTATCCCTCGGTGCTGTTCTTGCTCAGAAATGGAGGTGAGGAGTTGCCCTTGTACTTGTGTTTCACATTAAGACTGTTGAATTACCCCATGAAATCAAACGTTTATTTTCTCAATTTTAGCACTTTAAAGATGAGAATTCTGTATCTAAAAACTTGTCTGTGATTCCGTTTTTTTTTTCTTTTTCTTTTTCTTTTTTTTTTTGAGATGGAGTCTTGTTCTGTCATGCCCAGGCTGGAGTGCAGTGGCGCAGTCTCAGCTCGCTGCAATCTCTACCTCCCAGGCTCAAGTGATTCTCCTGCCTCAGCCTCCCGAGTAGCTGAGCTGGGACTACAGGCATGTGCCACCACACCTGGCTAGTTTTTTGTATCTTTAGTAGAGACAGGGTTTCACCATGTCAGCCGGGATGGTCTCCATCTCCTGACCTTGTGATCTGCCCGCCTCAGCCTCCCAAAGTGCTGGGATTACAGGCATGAGCCACCATGCCCTGCTGTTTGTGATTCTTTATAAAGGTCCAGATCTATGTTTTTAACCTCACTTGATGTCTTCCTTTGAACATCGGCTGTCCCTGGAAAATAATGATTGACTCTGGGAGATTTGTCTCCACTGACATATCCTCGACAGGAATCAAAAGTTCCAGCAGCTCCTGAGTGAAGCCGTCCCCATGCAAGTAACAGCAGCCTGTGAGTTTACATAGTTGTGGGTGCTGCCTGAATCGTTTTCTATCTCGCCTTGTGGCTTCTCTGCTGCTCGGTAGGAGAATGGAAGTGCCCAACCTTACACAGACTTTTCCAGAATCAACAAAACCATGCTTTTATTGCTGCAGCCTTGGAGATGAATCCAGAAGCTTCGGGTTGGCTTTGAGTTAGCCACTCTGTTGCCTGCACATATAGCATGCGTTCCCATGCCTGTTTTAGGTGGACTTTTATCTAAATGGCCCCTGTAGAAGACATTTCAGTAACTTGGGGAATGCCTACACAATGTAACATCGGGTAGCCGTGTCAAAGCCATGTTGAGGAATAATACTTAGTGACTGACGTGGTTTGGATGTGTTCCCTCCAAACCTCATGCTGAAATGGCCTCCAGCATTGGAGGTGGGGCTAGCAGGCATGTTTGGGTCATTGGGGGGGACCCCTTATGAATGGCTTAGTGCCATCCTGGCAGTAGTGAGTGACTTCTCACTGTTAGTTGAGCTGGTTGTTTGAAAGAGCCTGGGACCACCTCCTCTCTCGGCATGAGATGCACGGACTTCCCCGTGCCTTCCCCTGTACGTATAAGCTTCCCGAGGTCTCACCAGAGGCTGAGCAGATGATGGTGCCATGCTGATACAGGCTGCAGAACTGAGAGCCAAATTAATCTCTTTTTTCTTTGTAAATGATCCAGTCTCAGGTATTTCTTTATCACAGCAGCGCAATACAAAACAGACTACAATCGTGACACTGGAAAGTATTTAATAAAAATGCTGGGTAATATTTATTGAGCATAAATTATGTGCCAGACACATATGTTAACATATTTCATCCTCAAAAACTATATAAGTATTTCCCCAAGTTCACAGAGTGAGTGGTAACCACTAGGCAACCCTGCCTCTCTACCATGTATTATCTCCTTTTTTATTTACTAAACAATTCATAAGATAGTGATCACAGTTTCTAGTAAACATTATTCATACCTCTGTGTGTGTGTGTGTGTGTGTGTGTGTGTCTGTCTAGCACTCTCTGGAGGCCAGATGATAGGTGATTTAAATTTTTTTCATTGTATTTCCAATTTTTCTGCAACATAGATGGATAAATGTTACAAAAGAAAAAGAAGAACAGATTTCCTTAGCACTAGTAGCCATGTTTAGATGAAGTAGGAAGAGAAACAGGCTTCCAAACAGAATCATGATCCACCTTCCTACAGTGTTATATGCCCTTATGTCTTCCATTATTGGGAGAAATTAAGGACTGACCATAGTCGACTCTGCAAGGGAGACCAGTTTTTGTCCAGTTGTTGGACACTTGCAGGTGACTTGCTCAAGGTCGGAATGAATCTAAGATATCATTCAAGCTCAGTTAAAGAAGGTTTTTGTCCTAGAAAAGTACGCACTTAGGATGATTTGCCCAAGCTCCACTTTCTTTTTTATTAGTCTGCTTCCCTTGCCTGAGAATCTCCAGACCTCCTTACCTCTATCCTGTGATCAAGCCCCACTTGTCAATCATCTTGGAGAAAAAATTTCCCTCTCTGCGTCATGACCATCTGTGTTTCACTAATGAATGCAGCTGAAATCACTAAAACTCTTATTCCACAAAAGACCCTTCCCGCCTCTCCCCAGTGTGGAGTCCCTGCCTCTGTGCCTCCACTGTGTCCTGGTGGCAGCATCTTCAGCAAGTTAATTGCTTTGCTTTGCTTTTTTCCTAGTAGGATGTGAGTTCTGCAAAGGCAGGGACTTCTCTGTCTGGCAGGTTGCCTGTACGTTGCTGGCACGCAGGGTGCTTTCCAAAGGAAAGCGACACACCACGTGCCTCTCGTCATCATCTCAGACATGCCAGCTCTTGCAGCCACACTTAGACCGAAGAAGTCAGAGGAGTCAGTCACAGGTGCTGGAGTCGAGAAAAAACAGATTGGGTACCAATTAAGAGTAATTTTGAGAGCCTTATGGAAGAACAAAACAAACATTACCAAAGGATGAAAGACACCAGCCTCAGGCTTTTACTCAGCTGTATGAATGACATGGGGAAGCAACTGCTGCTGTTAGTGAAAGGTTCTTTTTTTTTAAATTTTTTTGAGACAGAGTCTTGCTTTGTTGCCCAGCCTGCTGGAGTGCTGTGGTGCAATCTTGGCTCACTGCAGCCTCCGCCTCCCAGATTCAAGTGATTCTCAAGACTCAGCCTCCTGAATAGCTGGGACTACAGGCACGTGCCACCATGCCTGGCTAATTTTTGTATGTTTTGGTAGAGACGGGGTTTCGCTATGTTGGCCAGGTTGGTGTCAAACTCCTGAACTCAAGTGATCTGCCTTCCTCAGCCTCTCAAAGTGCTGGGATTATAGGCCCAAGCCACCATGTCTGGCCAGGGAAGGTTATTTTTAAAATTTTTATACTTATGTCTTTCTGAGGGTCTCCCTCTGTTACCTAGTCTGGAGTACAGTGGCATAGCCGCTGCTCATGGAAGCCTCAGCCTCTTGAGGTTACGCCACCCTCCCGCCTCAGCATCTCATGTAGCTGGGACCAGCTAAATTTCTGAAATTGTATTTTATAGTTATGGTGTCTCACAGTGTTGCTCGGGTTGGTCTTGAACTTGGCCTCAAGCAATTCTACTCCCTAGGCCTCTTGTACTTGCATGATGGAAATTGAATACAAAGGCAGGTGTTGTTTTAATTCACATTTATGGACACGTTGCCGTCTCCCATTGTCATCTGTGTCTTCTGAGGAGTAGCCTGTTTGGCTAAATAAATTCTGGCCATTTGCCTTTAATTCATTTGCCTGAAAAAAAGCCATGTTTTCTTTCTACCTGTCCTTTGAACAGCATCCTGGTGGGGAAGAAGTCTTAAGGGAACAGGCTGGAGGTGACGCTACTGAGAACTTTGAGGATGTCGGGCACTCTACAGATGCCAGGGAATTATCCAAAACATATATCATTGGGGAGCTCCATCCAGTAAGTACATTTTGGGGGGGCCTTTCTTATTTGTCTTTAAGGCTATCAGATGACCCTACCCAAATCTGTAAGCTTGCATGTATACACATTTAAAAAGGAGTAAAGAAAAAAACCTCCTGATTTTTAGGACACCATTTTTGTCATAGATACATTGACCAAAAATGTCTTTGCATTTCACTGCTCACTGTTTATTGTCTGTTTGTTTGTTTGTTTTGTTTCTTGCTCTGTCGCCCAGGCTGGAATGCAGTGGCATGATCATGGCTCACTGCAGCCTCGACTTACTGGGCTCAAGTGATCCTCCCGCCTCAGCCTTTTGGTAGCTAGGACTACAGGTGCACACCAGCACACCTGATAATTTTCGTATTTTTTATAGAGACGGGGTTTCACCGTGTTACCTAGGCTGGTCTCAAATTGGGCTCATGCGATCCAGCTGCCTCTGTCTCCCAAGTGCTGGAATTACAGGTCTGAGCCTCCATGCGCAGCCTGGTTGCACTGTTTACTGGCACTTCATTTTAGTTGGCATCCCCACCCCAAGGCCATGCACTGGGGAGTGCTTCTCAGTCCTAGAAATGCCATGCGGCAGCGCATGTGAAAAAGTGGGAGAAGCAACCCAGCATTGTTCTCTTTCCTTTTCTGACCAAAATATTTTTGTTAAGAAACCCACTTCTACTTTCATTAGACCAAGGATATTTTAGTTCCAAAAAATGACTTAAAAAATATAAAAGCTGAGCTATCTGAAATGAATAAGCTCTGTGTTCTGTAGAACTAGCACACTGTCCGTATTCTGCTCACTTTACCCCAGACGTTTGGGAATGTCAGCTCCGGACCAGTCCATTGACCATGGCCTAATTTTTTTTTTTTTTTTTTTTTTTTTGAGACAGAGTCTCATGCGGTCACCCTGGCTGGAGTGCAATGGTGTGATCTCGGCTCACTGTAACCTCCACCTCCCGGGTTCAAGCAATTCTCCTGCCTCAGCCTCCCAAGTAGCTGGGATTACAGGCACCCGCCTCCATGCCTGGCCATTTTTTTTTGTATTTTTAATGGAGACAGGGTTTCACCATGTTGGCCAGGTTGGTCTCAAACTTCTGACCTCAGGTGATCCACCCGCCTCGGCCTCCCAAAGTGCTGGGATTACAGGTGTGAATGGCCATGCCTGACCCTAATTTGGCTTTTCTGTAAACACTGGGCTGTGTTATGATTTTAGACCCTTCGGTGGAAGTCATAAATGACCACGTTAAATATCATTAGTGTGTCATATGAGTTATCAGGAAAATAGCTGAAAACTTGGAAAGAAGTATCTGAGGGGTCTGAGCATCTGGAGTGGGTCCCAGGGCCACTCACTCAGCCGCCTTCCCCCTCTCTGGGAGCGCCTGGCTCCATCCTGCCCTCCCACTTGTGAGCCTGGTGAGCAGCCCACCAGAAGGGGACTGAGGCCTGCTGGGAGCTGGCTCTGCTCTCATAAAAAAACATAGAGGCAAATAGCCTCATTCCAAGCGAGCAGACTGAGAAACTCTTTAAAAATATAGGAGAAGTCTTAACATATACCACGGATGCTTCCTATAATGACTGAATGAAGGAGAGGTTACATTAGGCTCTTTGTAGAAGGCTTGAAAGTAGGAGACCCATTTGAGAACAACTTCCAATGAGTGGGGAGGTTTGTTTGATTTTGTTTTTGATGGTAGGAGATATGTGCTTTGAGGGAGTAAGCTTCATTTATCTGGCAAGTTTATTTGCCCCTATATTTTCATCCCATACTTCACAAAGGCGAAGTTGTTTTAGGGTCATCAGGGAGGCCTGCCTTTACAAGTGCCTGATCCCAACCTGTTCTCTCCAGCTGTAGGGTAGGTTTAGGCCCTGGCTAAGGCATTTCTGCTCCACCTGCCCCCTGAACTTCCCCCTGGCCAGCCTTTAAACACACTGTATTTTTGACAGCTTCAGCCTGAAGTTTAAATAGTTTATGCCTCTAAAACTGAGAGATTGCAGGAGTTAACTGAAGATATCACACACAAGAGATACTGCACGATCTCAAATGGAATTTGAGAGGACAGAAGGGAAGAATCAGTCTTCAGCTGCTCCCTGAATTGCATATCGCAACCCGAGTCTAATAAATGTATGTGCACATCAGCATGTACAGAGGACCGGCATGGCTGCTGTTCTAAACTTTGGGACTCAGATAGAAAATATCTCTTGGCACTTAATCTGCTACTAATTTTTGCTGTTAAATCAGATGGATCAAACTTTGTGTCTAATAGCTGAATGTTGAATCTGAAATGCTAATTGCCGAATTATATTTTTTTAAAAAAAATCTCAAAGTGAGCATTTTGGAGGTAGTTCTTTTGTAGATTTTCCATAACGTGCCTTATTTTTTCATTGCAGGATGACAGACCAAAGTTAAACAAGCCTTCGGTAAGTGTGACCATTTCTAATGTCTCTGGATGTTTTCATTGTATTTAATTCTTGTCAAGCTGAAGGCAGAGGTCTTTTATTTACTTGACTGAGGCCAGCACAGGTCTTTCTAGATAAATGAGTATATAACCTACGGGCTCAGCAAATATTTTTTATTTATGGAAACCTGTCAGTATGATTTGTTAGGATGGCTTGTGTGTAATTTTTTAAGGCTACCAATATTTAAACTACTTTTTTCATCATAATTATCAATATGTACCCTTTGAAGAGTTACTTTTCATAGTAGCCCTGTGCTTCTAATCTAAAAGATTTGACATAAGCCTTATTTTCAGAGAACTTAAAATCTGAATGGATAGTGGTTTTATTACTTAGATTTTTAAGGATGCATCTTATGTTTTCTTCAAGTCTCTTGGGCATAGTAGGTGTTCAATAAATACTTGTCAGATGAATTTAATGAAATTAAATAATATTCTTTTGACTTATTTTTCCTTGGGAAAGGAAAATAGCTCTGGTAATATACTGGTTTTATGTTCTGATGCCCTAGCCTTTCTCTCTGAATTGACCGTCTCACTTACATTTGAAGATAAACGTAGGGTGAGAACCAATGTGCACATCCTAAGTTCCTGAAAAGTACAGGTCGGCAAAATCGTTTCTAGCATCTAATTAAAGGACTATGGGGGAAAGTTTTGCTTAAAACAAATGACAAAAAAGAAGGTATGATTTTTCATTTTGGTGTAAACTCTTGGTTTCATTGGAGAAAGTGCCACAGCAAACCTCACTGGGCTTGTGTCGAGAACTGGTAAGCTGATTTTTCGAGCTGTTGCTGCCTAGGCAGTGTCTTTAATCTGCAGCAGGATCGAAGCCGTTAATCCAATAGTATGAGCATAAAGGCCACAGTTGCCTCGCCAACCCTGGTGGTACAATAAAAGTCTTGTGTAATACTGTTTAGTACAAAGCAATTTCATTTCTATTCTCTCCTTATTCAAGACAGGTTTAAGTTCAATGTTAATGATATGAGTACTTCCAGAAGATAAAAAATGGACTTCAGAATTTGAATGGCCTCTGTGACAATTGCTTGGAATCCTTGCTGTGAGCTCATTTGACTTTAGCACCTTTTTTGAGGCTACTTTTTGGACAGCCGAAATTCTGTGATGCATCCAGTTTTTCCTTTTTCTCTGAAGTCTCTTAAGGGAAGAGTATATATACTTTTATCACGTGTTTAGTTTGTTAATCATTTTGGTGTATGTTATTTAGCTATAGTAAAACAAAGGTTTAAGATGCATTCGATGAACTTCGACGACCACAGGGCCAGTAGTTTCCCTAAACCGTAAAGACTACAAGCAGAAAACACTTTAGGTGTGGATTGTAAACATGTCTCCTGCCATCACTGCTTTCTGTTTGAAGGACAGAACCTTTCCTTCTTTATTTGCTTTTAGAACATGTGTATTACATACAACCTATGTATACTCTGTTGGATTAATTGCCCATTACTATTTGTTATTCTTATTTTTCTATTTTAAAGTGGCAGTTACTTTGATACTGAGAGGATTTTGGGAACAGAGGAAGTTTACATGCTAAATTCCAGGACTTTAGCTTTTAGTATCAAAGAAAGCTTTTCTGACAACATTATGATAGAGTGACAGCTCTCTGTGTGTTAAGACATGGCTTACTTCATTGCAGCATTACCAGTTGATATTTGATCAGCTTGTTACCGGTAGAGGGTCTTACTGAAGTTTGAGAATCACACTCACTTTTAAAAGCAGATGTCTTTTTTTGTTTGTTAGTTGGTTTTTTTGAGACAGAATTTCTCTCTTGTCGCCCAGGCTGGAGTGTAATGGCGTGATCTCGGCTCACTGCAACCTCTGTCTCCTGGGTTCAAGCGATTCTCCTGCCTTAGCCTCCTGAGTAGCTGGGATTACAGGCATCTGCCACCATGCCCAGCTAATTTTTGTATTTTTAGTAGAGAAGGGGTTTCACCTTGTTGGCCAGGCGGGTCTCAAACTCCTGACCTCAGGTGATCTGCCCGCCTCAGCCTCCCAAAGTGCTGGGATTACAGATGTGAGCCGCCTGAGCCATGGTGCCCAGTCTAAAGTAGATGTTTTTACTCTTTTCAGAGACTTTATAGATTAATCAACTTTTGAGTATTTTTTTTAAAACAACTCTTCTTTATTGTAACTTTGCTTCAATGAGAGCTGAACCAGAAGAATGTGGGACAAGAACTTGCTGGCTTTTTTTGAGACGCCATAAGCCGATGAAACGAAAGGAAATACATGAGCACTTTTTTGGCTTGGTCTCTCTGTGCGTTCAGTTGAGCAGAAGGAAAGAGTACCCTTAGGTGTTTCTTTTGTCATGTGTCTGTATAACCGTCTACCTGTCTCCAGATTGAAAAATGTACACTGTGTTCTGAATTCTTGAAATGTTGCCTGCTTGAAATACCTAATTGAATAGTGCAATAAAATGCAGTAAAGATTATTAGCTTGAACCTACCCTAATGAAATCATAGTGTTAAGTTGCCAAATTATTTGTAGACTTACAGATTATGCATTTGAATCAAACATAAACCTTTCTATCACATTTGATTACATAGAGAAGATTAGTAGGAGCAATAACTCTTCTTGGTTATAGTTTTCAAAACATTCTTATAGAAAGTATTTGGTCCTCACAGTATCTCCGTGTTAGACCTGCCAGGGGAGGTGAGTACATTGCAATGGGGGTGTTAGGCACCTGGCTCACAGTACATGCTCCAGAACCATCTAGCACCCGTCTCAGGCCGGTCAGCTGCAGTCTCTTAAACTTCTGCTCTAGGTCGTGGGCTTGCCACATTAGGCATCACTCTGTCAGTATCGTAAGGGAAAAAGGCTTCCAACTAAAGAGTGGGCTACGTTAGATGAACTTACAAATGAGATGATTCTGATTTACAAAGGCTTGTTGGGCTTTGCATGCTTTTCATAATTTATGGAGCTTATCATAATTTACACTGATTCACATGACTTTTATAAGTCATTATGCATGAAATACTTATTTTTATTTATTTATTTATTTTTTGAGATGGGGTCTCACTCTTGCCCAGGCTGGAGTGCAGTGGCATGGATCCCGACTCACTGCAACATCCACCCCCCGGGGTCAAGCAGTCCTCCCACCTCAGCCTCCCTAGTAGCTGGACCATAGGCACACACCACTGTGCCCAGCTAATTTTTGTATTTTTTTGTAGAGACAGGCTTCGCCATGTTGCCCAGACTGGTGTCAAACTGCTGGACTCAAGCATTCCACCAGTCTCAGCCTCCCAAAGTGCTGTGATAACAGACATGAGTCGCCATGCCTGGCCGTTGACATACTGATTTAATTGCTAACCTCTTTTTACTGAACTTGAACCCTCAAAGTCATGGAGTGAACAGGTGGCAGAGCTGATCGTAAACACCGGTCTTTCCCTCCTTTGTTGCTATGATACTTTGATAGTCACGTCCATAAGCGAGGCCCTCAGCGTTGACCACTAAAGACCAATTACTTTTTCATCAAAGTGCAAAGTAGTAATTCAGATTTCCTTTAACTGTCAAGCATCCTGGGCTACAGAGCCAAGAAGATCTCAACAATCAAAAGGTGATAGAATCATTTCAGGTTCTGCTCTTTCGAGTTCATGGCTGTTGCTGGTGGTGCTGACTTGAGAGCAGTGTTTTAACCTTAGCACTCACCCATGGTGACCATGAAGGCGGCAGGAGGGTAGGTGGGAGGTTCCAGAGTTATCAGTGCGTGGGTGAAATGCCTGCGCTCAGGGCTCAGGTTAACAACGCCGTGGATGTTTGTGTTTGCCTTCCTTCCTGACTGTTGAAGCTTCACTTTCTAGTTTGACAATCATATGTTACCTTCAGTGATTCTTTTGTTTCAGAACGGATTGTGTCCTCTAATAGCTAATTATTTTTGTATATTTTGATTATTTCTAGTAATCTTTGCTAATTTTATTCATATATGCAAATTTTGGAAAATCAACTTGCTATAGTTATGAATACTTTTTATAGATGCTGAGATTTTAAAATTGCTGGAATAGATGATAAATTTGCAATTTTATTTTTAAATGACTTACCTTTCTTCCCCTACTGTGTCAGGAACCTTAAAGGCGATGGTTCAAGGTTGGTGGGTGTCATGACTGCTTTGCTGGCTTTCCCCTGACAGCTGTCTGTCGGGAGTTTCTCTAATATGCTTTGCAGAGTGATGCTTTGCCTCAGGCCGCTGATTGTTTTGCTAATGCTTTATCTGTGCTTTGGGAAACTGCAGATCTGAAGCTGCCTTATTTATTGCAACTTCTGTTTGAGACACTAATACTTTTGCTGGTGTGGAACATCAAAATAATGCTTCTTAACACATGAAGTCCAGGAAAGTTTTTATTTCACCAGACCGTAGCTTTTCAGCTGTTTGGAGAAGTATGCGTTTTTCCAGAGTCATTGTCAGTTCACTTTAGTGCTACTCAAAAGACCCTGGAGAATAAAAACAGGGCTTCCTTATTTGGGGATTTGCTGTTAGGGTGACAGTGACCAGTGGCTGGTGACAAGTGTGACACTAGGCACAGCAGTCCTGTGAGGCAGATCTGGTGTCTTGCTGGTACTATCTGGTCAGAATTAAAGCAGCCCAGGAAAAGTTGGCCTGGAATATAAAACTTCAAATGGCAGTTCTTACGTTTTCTTTTTGGTTGACATGCATTTAATGTAATTTAGGTATACTTTTTCACATCTGTCAGATTTGGATGAAATAACTCATTTTTAAAAATTGAACATTGTGTCCATGCTTTTGAAGAATTAAACTGCTTTTCCTAAAGGTGACGTGGGATTGTGTGTATATGGACATGAGTATCTGTTCTCAGTTTTTGCATTAATGCATTTAGATGCCTGTTGTGTGTAAGATATTTTATGTAGCGTATTAATTTTGAGTGTTTTTAAATTATTGAGGTTATGTCCTTAAGTAAATATAGATAATGCTTAAAATGTTTTATTTTGGAAAAAAAGTTAGGCACTTTAGTGAAAAGAAGTTTATGATGTAATTTTCCCTTTCAACATCTTCTGAAGAATGCATTGCATACAATATTGTGCCCTTATTTTCAAACAAGTTTTTAGTTAGTGGAGTAAGTTCAGCATTCTCTTGAACTTTACTTTTTCCTCTTGTGTTTCAGGAAACTCTTATCACTACTGTTGATTCTAGTTCCAGGTATGTGGTTGCTTTCTTTTAAAGCAGTGGCAGATGGGAATGCGCATGCATCCAGGTTGGGCACGGTGCTTCCGGCACCTGCTGGCTCCCTGGGCCTGACACTGTGCTGTCTCAGCGACTTTCCACTGAAGGCCAGAGTGTTCAGAGCACTCATCCCCAAACTTTCAGGCAGCCGACTGGACACCATCCACATCCACAGCCGTGTGATCTCGCCCAAGGGCTGCATCCACCCCAAGGAACATATAGAACAATGGCATTTCCTTCCCCCGCCACCCCCAACCTGGGCAGCAGCTCAGGCAGCCAGTCCCACAGCTGCTTTCTGGCTTAGCCGGGCAGAATTCCACTTCCTTCCTTTCAATACATGTCTGCTTCTTAAACGCTAATGATTACATTTCCCTAAGCTTGGCTTAGTTTTTCTTGGTCATTGTTATTAGTTAGCTGTAAAGTTGCAGCTGGTAATCTATGTGTAGCATGACTTGATTGTTCTAGGGACCAGATTTGTTTATTATAGTCCAAGGGCTTATTAACATTTTTGGCCGCTCTACCATACTGACTTCTGTCATTGCCACTTTTTTGGACCCAAGCTCAAAAGCAAACATATGTATTTCATCCTGTCAAACTGAACTGCCTCAGTCTGTTGGTATTCTGGAGCATTCCCCGTCTGCAGGCGGTAGGCAGTAATTCACTTTACTCGTCATTAACAAGTCACTTTCTTTCTAAAGTGAAATTGAAAAACCCCACCAAATCCCACTAAGATGAAAGTTACACTTGTAATCCTTATGAAAGGATTATACTTATAATTCATATGAAACACATATGTATACCTACTCTATATTCTAAAGCCTACACATTAATTTGTTTCATAAGAAATTAAAATCTAAATCGAAGATTGAAATCTAAAGATTCAAATAGAAATTATAGCTCATTCCCTCCTTTGTCCCTCATTTCATTTATAATCTGTAATTTATAGGTCAAACTTCTATGCATCAGGACTGTAAATTAGGCATTTTTTGTGTGTGAATTTAGACCTGTGGACCACACACAAAAAATAGTTTGGTCATTCTGTTTCTTAACCTTTAAATCCACTTCAGCACAGGCTGTAACAGATTTTTCCAAAACTAAGCTTAAATCTGCGGTGTTAATGGCAGCCTTAACAATCACAGGGTCCATACTCTTCAACTTTACAGCTGGTGGGACGTTAGTTTTTTTGTTTGTTTATTCTTGTTGGTTTGTTTTTGAGACAGAGTCTCACTCTGCCGCCCAGCCTGGAATGCAGCGGCACAGTCTTGACTCATTGCAACCTCTGCCTCCCAGGTTCAAGTGATTCTCCTGCCTCAGCCTCCCGAACAGCTGGGATTACAATTAGCTCCTGCCACCACGCCCAGCTAATTTTTGTATTTTTGGTAGAGAGAGGGTTTCCTTTTGGCCAGGCTGGTCTTGAACTCCTGACCTCAAGTAGTCCATCCGCCTTGGCCTCCCAAGTGCTGGGATTATAGGCCTGAGCCAACGCTCCCAGCCAGGTGGGGCATGAGTTTTCTCATAAAGCCAGCAGGGCAGTGATTGCTGGTACTCCAGGGCATCCCCTGCGCTCATGTCACTGTTACAAATCCAGGTTGTCCTTTCAGTGAAATTGGTTACAGAGTTAAGAAAAACATGCCTGGTAATTTTCTGTTAAAAGGAGCAAAGATTTCAAGTTCCCACAGTGAACGTCATGCCAACATCCTAGCTTTTTGTCTTTCTAGCTGGTGGACCAACTGGGTGATCCCTGGCATCTCAGCAGTGGCCGTCGCTTTGATGTATCGCCTGTACATGGCGGAAGACTGAACACCTCCTCAGAAGCCAGTGCACGAAAAGCCTGCTTTGGACACAGGAGGAAAGAAGCCAACGCTAACTACTTCACTGACAGAAACCTTCACTTGAAAAGATTAATTTTAATGTATTTTTTTCTCTTTCTTCCAATACTAGAAACAAAACAGAACTGTCCTTTCTGCTCTCGAATTTTTAATTTTTCGAGTGTGCCTTTTTATTCATCTACTTTGATGTTTCTTTACTATGTAATTTACTTATTATAAGTATGATCTTTTCAAAATATATCTGGCTTTTAAAGTATGCACTGTTTGCCTGTCTGTTTGGTGTATGATTATCTTTAATGTTTAGAATCTCTGATTATTTAGAGGAATCCTTCAGTGTGTAAATCATTCAGATCCAGGGAGGCCATGTGACTGGAGGTGGGGAAATAGGTCTGAGTGCCTCCTTCCACGAATTGTATGCCTTCAATATAGTATGTTTCTTCAAGGAAATTAAGAAAGGCCAGAAATTATAGCTTAAGGATTTCTAATATTGTTCTACTTGAATAGATAATAAAAAGAGAAAGTAGTGACCAGGCATGGTGGTTCACACCTGGAATCCCAGCACTTTGGGAGGCTGAGGTGGGTGGATCACTTGAGGTCAGGAGTTCAAGACCAGCCTGACCAACATGGTGAAACCCCTGTCTCAACTAAAAATACAAAATTGGCCAGGCATAGTGGCACATGCCTGATATCCCAGCTACTTGGGAAGCCTAGTCAGGAGAATTGCTTGAACCCGGGAGGCAGAGGTTGCAGTGAGCCAAGATCACGCCATTGCACTCCAGCCTGCTCAACAAGAGTGAAACTCCATCTCAAAAAAGAAATAGACAAAAGAAGAAAGTAGCCTACAGGGCCAATAAAAGTGATTTCTTATCTTCACTGATAGAAAAACATCAGTGACTTAAAAACACTTGGACCACGAGAGGGCATCTCAACTAGCCGCTCTCTCAGCTTAAACATGTCATTGCAAAGACACGCTCAGCTTCATAGGCTCTCAAGTTTTAAGAATTCCTCATTCAGAGGGGAGAATTGTTTATATACTCTTCTAAGGAAAGGCTGGTTTTCTAGTTTGTAAGGAGACTGTGGGACACTGGAATCTGAACTTTCAAGAAATTTAGCCACTAGTGTTGAGCTGTGAGTTCTGGTGTGGCTCTGTCTCCTCGTTGGGGCTCTTAAGGGGCTGATTCAGTCATCATACTTCCCATTTATTCTCTGCCTTATGTGACATTCTTTTAAATGTAGAAACTTAAAGGATGCTTTTGTCAAACCCCAGTACCTGTGTCGTTGGCTGTGAGTGCGTTTGCATTGGTGTGAGCTGACAGACCACAAGGTTCTTCAGAGCACATTGGAAAGGACTTGTGTTGTTCTTACAGAGTGCAACCTTTATAATCAAAGAGCATGCACCGCCTTTGCCTTCTTTACTCAGCGAAAGTTGACAAGCTAGTTTGTTTCAAAATAAATTACAACATTTGTTAAGGGACTTGTGTAAATATGTCAGTATTTTTGGTTGTGAGTTTTAGCTATAAACCCTCACATTTTAGTGCTTTTTAAAACATTCCACCTAAATCACCCATGAAGTGAATCGGAGTGGGTTTGTCATACTTTAGATGACATTAAAGGGTTAACTTGTAAATCATTTTGAAGACGTTGGCTGATAGCAGCTGTTTATCATTAAGAACCACAGCACTTGAACTTTGACATTTTTATCAATGACTCAGCAATTTGCTGCCAGGGCTGGCAATTTTTCTTGTGTTTTGGGAACAACGTGTGGAGTAAAGGAGAGCGAGTTTACTTTTTTACGTTTACAGTTCGTGCAGCCAGAATCTCAAATCTCAAGGTGATATTTCACACCTTTTTCTCTTGCTTTCCCTTCAGAGAGGTGAGAGACTTCACAAGGCTGTCCTTTCTTTTCATCTGCTGGTTGTGAAAGGAAAATATCTTGGGCCCCCAAAATCACTAAGGAAAAATTAAGCTGGAAACTGCTTAGGACAAACCTGCCTCCCATTCCATTCAGTCACCTCTCTACTCGCTGAGATAGGTGCATATCTGATTGCCTCCTTTGGAGAGGCTCATCAGAAACTCAAAGCAACCCTTTGTGTCTCACCTATCTGTACCTGAAAGCTGGCTCCCCACTTTCAGTCTTCCTGCCTTACTTCAAGATGTCCTGCCTTTCCAAACCGAACCAATGTACTTCTTACATATGTTGATTGATGTCTCATGTCCCCCTAAAATGTATTAAAACCAAGCTGTGCCTGACCACCTTGGGCACATGTTAGGACCTCCTGACATGCTTTGTCTCGGGCATGTCCTCAACCCTGGCAAAATAAACTTTTTTTCTTTTTTGAGATGGTGTCTTGCTCTGTTGCCCAGACTGGAGTGCAGTAGCACGATCTCCACAATCTTGGCGCACTGCAGCCTCCACCTCCCAGGTTCAAGCGATTCTCCTGCCTCAGCCTCCCCAGTAGCTGGGATTACAGACATGTGTCACAACCCCTGGCTGATTTTTGTATTTTTAGTAGAGACAGGGTTTCACTATGTTGGCTAGGCTGGTCTCAAACTCCCCACCTCAAGCAATCCACCTGCCTTGGCCTCCCAAAGTGCTGGGATTACAGGCATGAGCCACTGCACCTAGCTGGCAAAATAAGCTTCCTAAATTGAGACCTGTCTGATTTTTTGGGGTTCACATGGTTCTTAGCATCTGTGTGCAAGGGAGTCACTGAGGTGCTCTGGCAACCTCCCTACTCCTGGGATCACACCCCAGGTATCAAAGTCATGTGAACCAGAGCAACACCATCTTAAGTAAGAGCTGGGTAATAGGAGGCTAAAACCTACTGGGCTGCCTTCCCAGACAGTTAAGGCATTCTAAGTCACAGGATGAGATAGGAGGTCGGCACAAAATACAGATCATAAAGACCTTGCTGATAAAACAGGTTGCAGTAAAGGAGCCAGCCAAAACCCACTAAAACCAAGATGGCCACGAGAGTGACCTCTGGTCGTCCTCACTGCGACACTCCTGCCAGCGCCACGACCATTTACAAATGCCATGGCAATGTCAGGAAGTTACCCAATATGGCCTATAAAGGAGAGGCGTGAATAATCCACCCGTTGTTTAGCATGTCAAGAAATAACCATAAAAATGGGCAACCAGCAGCCCTTGGGACTGCTCTGCCTATGAAGTAGCCATTCTTTTATTCCTTGACTTTCCCTTTTTTTTTTTTTTTTTTTTTTTTGAGACGGAGTCTTGCTCCATTGTCCAGGCTGGAATGCAGTGGTGCGATCTTGGCTCACTGCAATCTCTGACTCCCAGGTTCAAGGGATTCTCCTGTATTAGTCTCTGGAGTAGCTAAGATTACAGGCACACACCACCATGCCCGTCGAAGTTTTTTGTATTTTTAGTGGAGACAGGGTTTCACCATGCTAGCCAAGCTGATCTTGAACTACTGACCTCAGGCAATCCGCCTGCCTTGGCCTCCCAAAGTGCTGGAATTACAGGTGTGAGACACCATACCTGGCCTATTCTTTTACTTTCTTAATAAAATTGTTTTCACTTTGCACTGCACACTCACCCCAAATTCTTTCTTGCGTGAGATCCAAGAACCCTCTCTTGGGGTCTGGATCAGGACTGCATTCCTGTAACACAGGGACTGTGTTGGGTGCACGTGTGTCAGTTGCTCGCCTCTTGGGTTTGAGGTGATGATTAGGGCTCTGGCTGGAACAGGCATCTGCCTTCCTCTGGAGGTGTCTAGGCGATGGCGAGTGGAAGTTCTGGAAGCAGATTCTCGTTGTAGGGCAGCCTTTCCAAGGGGTGTGCAGACACAGATGGTGTTAGGGAACCGGTTTCCGGATCCTCAGCTTCGATCTAGATCATGGTGTAACCAAGTACCACAACTGGGTGGCTTAGAACAACAGAAATTTGTTCTCATCACGCAGAGGCCAGACGCTGTAAATGGTTTCATCAGGGTGGCACTCCCCCCAACACTCGGGGTGGAATCCTTCCTCACCTCTTGCAGCTGCCACCGGTGGCTGGCAGTCCTCACCTGGCGATCGTCGCCTGGCGGTCCCCACCTCGTGGTCCTCATCTGGCAGTCTTCACCTCAGTCTTCGCCTTGCAGTCCTTGGCTTGCTGCCGCATCTCCCCAGGCTCTGCCTCTGTTGTCACTGACATTCTTTCTCCCTCTGTGTCTCTGTCACAAGGACACATTGGATTACCTACCCCAGCATGACCTCATCTTAACTGATTACATCTTCATGATCCTGTTTCCAAATAGTCACACTCTGAGGGGCTGGGGTTAGGACTTCAACATATCTTTCTGGGGGACACAGGTCAAACCATACCACATTCTTTTCTAAAAGGGACCTGATGTTCATGCTGGTGCTTCTTTCTTTACTCTCTTTCAACTCAATTCCTCATCTCCCTCTTTTCAGGAAAGAGGAGATCTTAGCTCAGGCCGTTCTAACAAAATACCTTGGACTGGGTGGCCTTAAAAGCAAACGTTCGTTTCTCATGGTTCTGGAGGCTGGCAGTCCAAGATCAAGGTCCCAGCAGCTTCGGCATAGTCACGTGGTAGGGAGAGGAGGCAAGCTGTCTCAGGACCCTTACGATGGCACGATGCCACCCCACCTCCTAATACCGACCGGCACATTAGGGGACAGGGTTTCCATATAGGAATTTGGGGGGCCATTCCATCCATGACAGAGACCTATTTCTCACCCATCCTGAATTGTAATATTGGATGTGAAAGCTGCTGTCAAACGTGGTACATGGTGGGGTCTGTGAGACTGTAATCAAGACACTTCTTTAATCAAAGTACCCCGCCCTGTGCTTTCCTTTTCTGGCGTGCGCTCTGTTGGCGGTGAAACGTAGAGCAGGAATGGGGGATTCAGCCTACTGGAGGGTGATTGGGGTTCAGATGGACAGTCAGCAGCAGAGGTGGTGACACTGCATTGAGCAGTATCTGTTCTACCTCTGCCTCCACCACCTTCGATGAAAGCCTCCCTCCTGAGGGAGCACCCTGGGGGACTGGTCAGGTAACATATGAACTCATGTTGTGATCTGGGTCCACAGAAAATCAAAATCAAATTTTTAATTTCACTGGAATATATACATTTCTATTATAGACAATGTGATTGCGAGGCAAAAGAGTTTCATAACTATTTTTTATTAGGATAAAACTGGAGAGAAGAAATAGATCTATGAGGTTAAGGAGAAAAAGGAACAACGTACAGTTTCTGCTAAGAAAGAGTGTTTCAGCATTTTTTACA